CCCGGGCTGGGCCTTGCCCCGAGCTCGGGTTTACGCCGGGGCCTGGGACCGGGCCTGCACCGGGCCATGGCCTGGGCCTTTCCGTGAGCTTGGGTCTGGGTCTGGGCCTGGGCCTGGGCCGGGGTCTGAAGTGGGCCTTCTCCTCAGTTTGGGTTTGGGCTTGGGCCTGGACCTGGACCTGAGCCTGTGTTGGGGTCTGAACTGGGCCTCTCCCTGAGTTTGGGCTTGGGCCTGGACCTGGGGGTTTGTACCTGGGCCCTGGCCCAAAACCGGAACCGGGCCTATGCCGGGGCCTAGACTGGGCCTTTAGCTGGACCTGTGTGAGGCCTGGACCGGGCCATTCCTCGAGCTTGGGCCTGGGTCTGGGTCTGAACTGGGCCTTTTCCTGAGCTTGGGCTTGGGTCTAGGCCTGGAACCAGGCCTGTGCCAGGGCCTCGACTGGACCTTTCTCAGGGCCTGTGCCTGTACCAAGGCCTGGACTGGGCCATTCCTCGAACTTGGGCCTGGGTCTGAGTCTGAACTGGGCCTTTTCCTGAGCTTGGGCTTGGGTCTGGGCCTGAGCCTGGGTCAAGCCCATATCTGGGTCTGAGCTGGTGTTGGGGCTCAGGCTTGTCCTGAGCTGCAGCCGGGACAGGGACTGGGCCTGAGCCTGAGCTTGGGCTGTACTCCTGTGATCCCCAGCAGTGCCCCCTCCCACCAAGCCCTGCACACCCTGCTGACACATCGCCCTGTGCAGGACCGAGCTCCGTGCAGGAGGTGAGAGGAAGGCCAGAGTGCGGGGTCCTGCACCCCAAGGGCAGAGTGAGGAGAAGGGATCCCCCAAACCATCCCGCGGTAGCTCCTGGCCCTGTGATGTGCTCAGATCGTTGCCATGAACCTGCGTGCATCCCTCCCTTTCGAGCCAAATCTTAGGGGAAAAATTGCATTATTCTGTGTTAATAACCACAGCAGGGTTTCGCTGTCTCTTTCAGATCCCAGCTTTCCACTGTGGTTTTTCATTACTTGGTGTCCTTAGTTTGACTTTAATGCAACTGGTGACAATATGTCGAGGGGGCTGAGTGACGGGGACATGGTC